TTTTTTGTTTGCAAAAAGTCCATTTTATTTATAGAGGGGAGTTTTGAGCTTTCCAACAGTACATTTTTTATCATTGTCGGTCACGGTTTACAAACGACATGATGCCAAAGCCAACATTTCATATTTTTCTGTATAACATTTATATTTGAAAAATGTTACAAAGTGAACTTTATTAGTAATTAGAAGATAATCATCAAAAATTTCGTATTTAAAAAACTCATAAATATGATTTTTTCCAAAACATTTGAGTTCCAGAGCCTAGTGCCAAGCAGTGCCAACACCAATGGAGGCTTTAATATATTCTCTATCCGACCGTAGCTCATAAACATTAGAGTTGCCAATATTTCAGAAATAGTCGTTGAAAATTGCAATGTAAAAAATAATAAAAATTAAAATAAGCTTTTACTAACATAGTATGCTGATGATAAAATTGAAAGATTTTAGTCTCACCCTCAACCGAATTGGCTGTAGTTTGGTATAATGTTTGAGAATCATAGTCATACTCTCCCAGAGAAACGTGTCAAAATTTGGAACCGATCGGATAATTCGTTTTGAGTTATTGTGCCCGCCATTCGTAGAAACACTGCTTCGAGAAAAATGCGTTTAATGTTTGAGAATCACTCTTACCGTCACCTGATGCTGACACAATAAATCGTGTAGTGTAGATGTAGAGAATTAAATTAAAAAAACTAAATCAAATTTTTTGACACCGAGAATGGGGGGTCCCCTTAAAGGATCATAATTCCAACCAGACTGATAGCACTAATAATTACCAGGCTACGGATTCCGCAAAGCACGGAGTACTACAACGGCGCTAAATGATATCACAACATACATCGCAAACGGCCTTAACCAAAATCGACCGCCAGCGCGGACTGTGGTCGCTGCGTTAGACCTAAACCGAAAAGCGTTTGACACAGTGGACCACTCGATTTTGCTCAGTGATATCATGAACTCCATATTGCCCAATGTTACCAAGCGCTGGCTTGGTAACTATCTCAATGGCAGACAGGGATATGTGGAGTTCAGAGGTCAGATATCTAAATACCGCAAGATCAAAATGGGCGTCCCGCAGGGAGGAGTTCTATCTCCACTGCTTTTTAATCTCTATCTGGCGACGCTTCCTGCCCCACCTCCCGATGTTAAAATGGTTTCCTACGCAGATGTCGTCTGGAGTCGACATAGATCAATAACTACCTCGCCACCATTTCAGCATTCATGCAGGAAAGGAAATTAATTATATCCCCGTCCAAATCTACTGCGACGTTATTTACCTTGAGGACACGTGAACTTAAGACAGAGCTTGATATCATAGTCGATGACCAAAGAATTCCGACAGTTCAACATCCCAAAATACTGGGAGTAGTTTTTGATAACCTGCTTAACTTCAACAAGCACGCCCCCAATGTCAAAGGGAAAGGATAAAGAGACGCACAAAGCCATTAGTCGCTCTGTACTGAGCTATGCCGCCCCCGTTTGGACTTCATTCCTCCAAAATAGTGCTCTAAGGATTGCTACCGGATGTGTCAAGATGTCGAGCGTGGATCATCTTCATGAGGAGACAAGGATACTGTCAGTACAGCAACATAATGTGTTGCTTGCTGGACAGTTCTTTCTGGCCTGCCATCTGCCAAGTCACCCCAACCACCACATAGTTGTGCAGGATCCTCCTCCACGACACATCCGGAAGGACATCAGACACTTCCGCCCAGACATCCAAGACGTCATTCCATCCGACCTCAACAGATTGTCATTAGCTGCAGGTCTGAAACAGCTGCACATTCGAGCGGTAAATCAAGCCGTCGACGGATATTGCCTAAATAAAGTCCTTAATGAACATCCACCCAGCAATCAGTGACTCCGAAAAGCGCCTTCCCAGATCCACTTAGATCTGGCTGGAGCACCATTCTAAATAATTACCAATCACGAATTATTTTCAGCACATGCGTTCAGTGCCCAGATTGTCACAGCACTCCTCATGACACAAATCATCTATTTTCTTGTCCAGTCAGGCCCACAGATTTGCGCCCTGTGGATCTCTGGGTTAGACCAGTGGAAGTGGCTTAACTTGTAAAGGCGGCAAGTCCATATTTCACAATATTTCGAAGAGACAAAAAACAATCAAACTTTCTTTTGAATAAAGATTTTTTAAGTCTGTAAATGCAATTTTTTTATTGTATGTGTAATTTAATTGCGTAAAGGCAAAATGAAAAAATAAGTATTTGCGGTGATACACGCCTTTTTTGGGACTTAGAGCTTTTTTTGTCGCTAAGTTTGCATGATTTAATGGACTTAGGTCTTTTTCTTACAACTTGTCTATCATTATATTTTCTAATTATTGCAATAATTTTGATTTTTTACATGTTAATATTATCTAAAAGAGTAAACATTGTTTTGGAATAATAATTCATTTAAAAATATGAAAAAAAGTAAAAACGATAACGTTATATGGGCGGTACCCTAGAAAGTGGACCAATGTTGATAAGTTTTTGTTGGAAGGTGAGCTACCCCATAAGTACCTAAAATACCAAATTACAGTCAATTCGGCTGAAAATCATGTCTAAAATCTTCGAAATAAAAAGTGGACTTACAGCCTTTACATGATGTTAAGACAGCAACAACAATAACAAATGAGATAACTCTATTTTTATTCTTTTAGATCGATGTATTTTGCCTCTTTATACATAACTGTATAAAAATCTCAATTTTTCGAAAATTGGACTTGTTGCCTTTACAAGTTAAGCCAGCGATATATATTCTAAATTCTACACATACATACACATAGCCCAATAACGCACACACCATCATAACCACAATACCCATATCCCATCATCACACAAATCACTTTCCACACACTAATGAACCCATTAGAGCCTATTATTAATACCTGTACTAGATCTACAGGGAAAAACACATGGTTCCAGCCGAACTGTTACAACAACAACCAGGCTATGACTGCCGTATGTGCCCCATCATATTCCGAATGGGGCACATTCGGAATATGATGGGGCATTTGAATTTTTTTAGAAAACTGTAAAAATTGGTAACTAATACTAATTTATTATATGTTTTTGGTACTAGTTTTTATAATTAAGTATTAGATGGCAATGTTGGTACTATGGACACCTTTTACGAATTTTTTTAGAAAACTGTAAAAATTGGTAACTAATACTAATTTATTATATGTTTTTGGTACTAGTTTTTATAATTAAGTATTAGATGGCAATGTTGGTACTATGGACACCTTTTACGTCATAAAAATAAAATTAAAAAAGTCATGTCATAAATTTTGGTTGTACTTTAATAGGTATGTTGTACTTAACCAAACCACCTAAATTTAAAAGTTTAACTCTTAAATTTCTAAGAAAAAAATAAAGACAGCCAAATCAACTCCAATGTACTCACTTTTGGACGTCTGCATTTTATGAATAAATTGAAGAAAAGGAATGCAAAACCACTTTTTTAATTTATTTTCGTTTTCTTTCTTTTTTTAAGAAAATAAAAGATTTACGTTATTTAAATCCCGTTTATTAAAACAATAGTGCCAAGTTAAGAACAACAATTAAATAAAGAACTAATAATAATAAATCACGAAGAAATATTTAATGACCACTGAAGAGGCCACCCGGATCTTTATTGAAAGAACCTGTTGTTCACTGGAAATTGCAAAGGGACATAAATTGTGCCAATTAGTGGTCGTGTGGGCACAAAAGAGGTGTTCTATTGTTTCCAAAGTAAATATTTATAGGTGCTTACGTATTCCGATATTATTTAATAAACCATTATCACACTAGAGGGCGAAAATATACCGTTGATCGCTTTGAAAATTTCCATGAGGATCCAGGCTCATTTTACAGTGAAAAATCGCCAGTCCGAAATTCTCCCCCAAACGCTGGGTTTATGTTTCATGCAGCTTTTGCAGCACTATTACCAAGTTTGTACTCATATAAGAAAATGACGCAAATGTCGGCAGAATTCATATCGGCATTTTGCTGAAATGAGTCTATGGAAATGGACAATAGGTGTCAAAAGTACAAGCATGTACTCGCTTCATCAGCCACTGTACATATGTGCAATGTTACAAACCATAACAAGCATTGGTATAAATTTTACAGTACATTTAAAATTATGAAAATGAAATCGATAAGGGCGACTTAGGAATCAAACTAAAGGTTTTTTAAGCATCGGGCCTGGACTTAAACTTTCTTCTATGGACCGGCGCATACTAGGCTACGCATTCCATAAAATGTTAATGTGCGATTTAGGTTTTTAAAGTTGGCGGCCTTCGGCCCGTGTTTAACTCATTAGCGTCCATTGTACTTGCACAGGTACAGAAAAATATTCATATTTGAAATGTCATAAATCCTCCAAGAAATTTATTTTTTCTGTTTTTGATTTGATTTTGGGTTAATTGGACTAGGGTTAAGCAAATATACATAATTGTATTCATTGAGCCACTGTACCTGCTTGGGTACAGACTAAAAATCATAAAAATACTTTTTTATAAAATTTTATATTTTTGAGTTCTATATGTTCTCTTCATACATACTATATGAACAGAATGGATATTTTTTAATTTTAAAGGCAGCTGGCCTTTAATGGGTTAAGAATATCGTATGGACACGCAATCCAACATTTTTTAAGTACGACATTTTTTAATGCATTTGACCTTCGATGTCCCCAGTCACATATGAATAATTGCATTTACATAAATTTTTTAAGTTTTGTAATATTATTTACATTACATATTGTGCAGTATAGCTTATAAAGGATAGTCACATTGCTTTGGTTTCCCTGATTTAAAGGATCATATCAATCAATCCGAATGGAGCCCCTAATGTTGACTTAAGCCAATTTAATTTTTGATTTCTTAGAAATGTTTACAGTTTTCCTCTTTTATTACTTCGCTTTTTAATATTCATAGCGATTATAAAAAATAGAATATTGTAACAATTCATGTGAATATTATTTCTCTATTACATTAATGTTAATGTCATCTATTAAAGTCCTTCTTCGGATGTGGGCAGCCAAAAAGCCATATTTGTACAAGCTGAAGCCAATAGCATGTATTTCGGATTAAACTGAACACACTGAACTGGCCCAGGATGATCACCATTCAAGACGCAAACCTTGTAGCCTGTATCAGCATTCCACACATGAACACGGCCATCAGTACTTCCGGAAAATATGAATTGAGAGTCTGGGCTGAAACTGGCTTCAATTGGGATTCCTTTTGTGTTGGGGTAACCTGTGAAAGTCTGAAGTGGAGTTCCATGGAATGCATCAATCAATCTTATTATGGAACCATTGGTGCTAATAAGTATGGTCTTTCCATCTCTGGAAAACTTCAAGCCGGTCCAGTCACATTCTTTTTCTTGATTTAATTTGAATGTAACAAATGGACCCTTGTCAAATGATCTTAAATCATATAGTTTAATACTTTCTGAGTTTACACCGGCAGCAAAAATTAAACCCTCTGGATCGTACGCAGCTACGGGCCTTCCTGAAAGGTGCATCAATCCTTGACAATTTGGCGAACGAAGATCCCACAAACGTAAAGTTTTGTCCAAAGATCCGGACAAAAACGTATCCTCAACTGGAGATATGCAGAGCGATATTACTTTCTTTGTATGACCAGGAAAATATCGTAAATATTTGTTGTCATGCAGACTTAGATACCTTATTGTATCATCTACTTTTGTGGAACTATGTATTGCAGTGTTATTAGCGTGTGTAAAATGTATTAGGTCCACACCATATTTCTTAGAGTTCACTGTTCTCGATTGAGTCCCTTTTTCACAGTCATATATGACAATTTGGTCATCCTCACTGCAAGATATTAAATGTTCTCCATTTGGTGAAAAATCAATAGCATTGATTTTGTCTGTATTCTCCCTGAACACTTTCGCAACTTTGAAACTTCTTACTACAGGATCTATTAGTTTCATTTTTTACTTCTGTTTGTATTTTTTATTATTATACCAATATTAATTCATGTACTTAAAATATGCGTCGTTCCAAAGCGGACTAGTTCATACGATCTATTCCGAGTTATGAACTATCGGAACCATGGTATATTCCAAGATCTATTAATAAGGTCACCAACATGGCCTATAAATAAGGTCACCAAGGGAGACCAGCTGATTATCGATACCTCTCAAGTTTGCTGTCAAAATGCATTATTGTGAATTGACTTCCATTATGAAAACGTACACAGAGTTGAAATTTTTGACATTAGACTTGAGAAAAAACAGCTGTTTTCCGATTTCGATTGCTATCTTGGTGACCTTATTAATAGATCTTGTTATAGGCCCATGGTATAATAATAGAAGGTAACAGCAAGTGTTGTTGTACAACAAACGATACCACAACCACATGGAAATTTGTTGTTGTAAGTTCTACTAGTGTCAACTCATTTGACAGAAAAATGTAAACAAACAAACAAATTATCATCAAATTATTTTTATTTTGAAAATGAAATATTTTCGAATCCTCAAAATAAAAATTGAAAAACATGAATGAAAATCTATGAATACATTATCGTTTTTGCTGTTGTATCGTTTTTTGTACAACAACATGTTTCCCAACACAATTCACAATTTACCACTGAGAGAGAGAGAGAAACTCTCAACACCGATCCCGATCCCGACAAATATAAAACCACGCTAACATTTGAGAGTATTCATCGAAATTAAATTAATTTTGACAGTTTGGAACTTTTTCAGTAAAATTGAAAATGATGAATGAAAAGTAACAAATTGTCTAGTTTTTATATATACAGAGGGAAGTAAATTTTGTAATCTACATAATGCAATATGCATTTCTTTCCCTTTTGTTCTAATTAGCGTACAAAACGAGAAACAAATGTGGGGAAACCCAAACAAAAATTCTCCAATTTTTTAAATGTCACATTTGAATTGAGAAAATATAAAAATTTATTCATAGCAACAATATTTTCGGAAAAATGGAAAACATGAATTAAAAGTAAATAGATATAGGTTCATACTATAGTCAGGAGAAAGAGAATTATTTTTTCTATTTAGATCCAAGTAACAAAAAGTTTGAAATAAAAAAACTCTAATGACATGAATTAAGAATAGTGTTGTATGAACGGGTTAATTCATGTACCTAATTCTGAGAGCGAACTACGTTGTTCGAATGCCCGTCAGAACATGACATTACGCTCTCACACACTTACTCTTAATTTAGTTCTGTTTAACACTGATATAAATCCTCAACCACCCTCAAAAGCAAGGAAAATTTATATTGGAATCTGCCCATTGGTATTTGCAAAATCTTCGACGGATGTCCAGCTTAACTCATAGTTAGGCACAAAATCTTTGCAATTAAAGATAGATTCCGTAGTGGATCTTTGTATATTAATTTAAATTGAAAAACCGTACCTCGGCCCAAGAATTTCACATACGCTTAAGACAATATCGGTATACTGGCTACGTAACACAATCTTCATTATGTTGTGGTCTTTGAGAAGGGCTGATTTGGAAGCCACAATTAAATAAATATATACATATATAGGAGCAACGGGCAGGATGTGGTAAATTTTCAAAAACAAAAGATTTCAATTCCTCATAGATTATTTGTTGACAAAAAATTAAAACAAATAAATATTTGTTTTTGTTCATTTTTGACAAAAACTAATTGTCAGCATGACAATTTAATTTCTATAACAACAATGTTGTTTTTGTAAAATATTTGTTCTATCTGATGCTTACACCTTATTAAATACACCTTGATTATTACAAGATAGGGCACAGCTACCAACTGATTACAATTTTTTTTCTAGGTGGCTTGTTCCATCAAATCAAAATACATATATTCTAATTTATGCCATGTTCTGACGGTCATCCGAACAACGTAGTTCGCTCTCAGAATTACGTACATGAATTAACCCGTTCATACAACACTATTCATAATTCATGTCATCAGAGTTTTTAATTTCAATCTTTTTGTTTCTTGTTTTACACCAAAAATATAACATATTTTAGTGAAATACATAGGGATCTAAATAGAAAAAATAATTCTCTTTCTCCAGAATATAGTATGAACCCATATCGATTTACTTTTCATTCATGTTTTCCATTTTTTCTGAAAATGTTATTGTTTTTAATACATTTTTATATTTTCTCAATTCAAATGTCACATACTGTCACATATACAAATTTGGAGAATTTTTTGTTTGAGTTGCCCCGCATTTGTTTCTTGTTTTGTACGCTAATTAGAACCAAGGGAAAAGAAATATATATTGCATTATGTAGAAAACAAAATTTACATCCTGCTGCATATATAAAAACTATACAATTTTTTACTTTTCATTCATGATTTTCAATTTTACTGAAAAAGTTTGAAAATTTCATAAATATTTTCAAACTGTCAAAATTAATTTATTTTCGATAAATACTCTCAATTGTTAGGGATGGGACAAATTTCTTGGTTATTCGGAGAGTGATTCAAATTGAACAACGTACAAAAGTCGGTGTTCGCTCAGACAATTTTATATGGGGAACTAAGTAATTACTTCATAATTAAGGGTCGAACAACGAATGAGAGAGCAAACGACGCCCGTCTGTACATGGCATTAATTGAAATGAAAATGAAAGAAAGAAAATACAATATTTAACATGGTTGGCAACACTGCACATCGAATATAAGCAGAAATTATCCACTTTGACAGTTAATCGAGACATTAGCTGCTCTAAATGGACTACCTATTCATTGTGCCATGGAAGCAACCTTGTGTAAAAATCAAAGTACTAAATTCGGCTCCTAGAACTCTACACAGTTTCTAACTTCACAATTCGTGACGTGGAGCGACATTTTATAGGATTCTAAGATGGTTGCAAGATCTTCCTTTGGCTGGTGCTCCTCCATTCGAATATGGATATTGGCTATTTTGTTTTTTGGAGCGTTGCTTTCTTTACCTCCCGTCACTACAGGCCAGGGACACAGTCATGAGAATCCTAGTTTTAAATACTCAAAAGAAGCAAATGAGAATAAACACGTACATAAAGATGTCGAAGAAAAATTACATTCTTATAGGAGGTTGCCTTTAGGTATGTATTACCCATGGTTAATGTGTATTGGAATTTGTGTGTATTAACAACGATGTATTTAATAGATATGGGAAGCGTGTGGTTGTATTCGTTGGGATCCACATTGCTTATAAGCGCTGCACCCTTCTTAATTCTATTTCTGATACCTTTGGATAACAGCGAAGCTATGAGACCAAGACTTAAAATAATTTTAGCGTTTGCTTCGGGTGGTCTACTTGGAGACGCTTTTCTTCATCTAATTCCTCATTCGACACACCCTCATCACAAGCATGATAGTGAACATCACTCTCATAGTCATGGAGATGCTCATGGACATCACAGCCATGAAGATTTTCATGGACCTCACAGTCATGAAGGTTCTCATGCACATCACAACCATGACATTACAACGGGCTTATGGGTACTCGCAGGAATTATCGCATTTTTAACTGTGGAAAAAATGGTTCGGCTGTTGAAACAAGGATCGGGTCACAGTCATAACCATGGAAAATCAGAAAAGACGAAGATAACGAATGTTACGCCAAAAGAAGATGGAGTGGAAATATCAGGCTATTTAAATCTTGCTGCAGATTTTGCTCATAATTTTACGGATGGTCTTGCTATTGGAGCTTCATATTTGGCTGGCAATGAAATTGGTTTAGTTACCACCATAACTATTCTTTTGCATGAAGTTCCTCATGAAATTGGCGATTACGCCATTCTTATTAAATCTGGTTGTTCCAGGAAAAAGGCGATATGTCTCCAACTTTTAACAGCATTAGGTGCTTTAAGTGGAAATGCATTGGCATTAGTTGGCATTGGCGATGAATCTGATGCGGCACCCTGGGTGTTACCATTCACAGCTGGTGGCTTCATTTACATTGCAGCTGTAAGCGTACTTCCAGAATTGCTTGAAGAGACGACTAAGCTATGGCAATCAATAAAGGAAATTACTGCGTTATTACTAGGGGTAGCGATAATGATTTTTATAGCAAAATTTGAATAATATAAATATTTGATTAAAAAAAACATTTTTGTTTGAGTCAAATGTGATAAGTGTTCCAAACGGGCTAAGTTGAGTTTAGATCTCGCCTCCCTGATCACGAAAGTTTTAAATCTCCGTAGGAAGGCTGGCTATCGAAGAAAAATGTTTATATAAAAGGAGAAAGTCTTAAGTAACCGATTAGTTTAAAAAATGTTGATGCATTATCGAAAATATTCATCCTATCTATAGGAGAAAGTCTTCAATCCCCGATCGAAGGCCTCCTATTTTGGATAATGTTTTTTTAAAACGAATTTAAATACAAATATATTGTGTACGCTTTACAATCACACGAATATTACCTTCATCGGTCCATAAATGACGAAGTTTGGAACTTCAGAGGTCCTTATCTCGGGTAGTATGGACTTGCCCCATGAAAATTCCGAGATGAGGCTCTAACTCCACTCCAATATTTCGTCATCATAAATGCGAACGGACGTAACTACGAAAAATTCGAAATTGACTTTTTGTTTGATTATTGTTCGTCTAATAAAACTACATTTTCCCACAAAAATTTAGACATCTAACGTCAAAAACATCGATCTAATTAAAGAAATACAAACGGACGTAACTACAATAGCATGTATTTTTTAATGCAATCGGACGTAACTACACTCCTGTAAAGAACTAAAGCTCGCAATATTGAATATCGAAATTCTGAACTTATATTAATGTTACTTCTGGGATGTTTGATATTGAAAATGTCGGCCAATTTTTTACGGTAGCCCCCATATAGCGGTATCCCAAATTTCGTGCAAATCCAAAGAAATGTAGGGGCTTTAATGCACCATTTACACAAAATATGACGAAAATATGTGTGGGAGCTATGACTGAATCTGAACCGATTTCAACAAAAACTTAACACACGTCACCCCGGACGCTATACAAATTTTAGTTTCAATCTGATAATTATTCACTTTGTTGTATTACAATTGTGTTGTAGTTACGTCCTTTTGTTTCAGAAAATATCAAGTCAAAAGAACGTAACTGACATAAAATCTTAAAAATCTTTTGTTTTTGCAAAATAGTCAGGCTGAATCCCAGTTTGTTGTTTTTATAAAAAACAACTATTTATTAGTGGGGAAAAACTAAGGGAACTGATGAGGATTAATGGCCTGATCCGAAACTATAGTTTTCCCTGCCTTACCCCTCGGCAAACAATGCCATACATTCCCCACTAATAAACACTACCGAAGTTTTAAAAATTAAATAAATACGTCTCTACAGTGCGGTTAAACTAAAAAACTAAAATAAATAAATAATTATACTAAGTTTTATTACTATATAAAAAACAGTTTTTTGTGGTTTTGCACAATAGTAGTCATGTCTTATTCTAGATGCCAATCCCACGTGAATTTACTCGATCTTCGCCTTCGACTTATTCTAAGTGAATTTCACAGTGTTTTTTTCGCATTCTCGCTTTCGCCTTATTCTAAATGAAGTTGGAAATCCGCTTTTGGAAAAAATTAGTTATTCTGGATTATACGGCGTGGGAGAATGAGATGACATATTGTGCGGAATTTTTGCTAATAAATTTAAAGGAAACTGACTACAAAAACATAAGTAATAAATATATTTATGAAAAAGACTAGCAGACCCGGCAAACGTTGTTTTGCCCTATCAGAATTGCATCAATCTAGGTTTTGTAAAAATTAACGAATTCATGAAAAATATATTTCAGAAACTTTTTACCATTTAATTTATGTCAAATTTCCGCAATAAAAAAAATTCGCATAATATTTTCCTCGCAACGGTAAACCTTTATTTACTGATACCCCGATATATTAAGTAATGTTTTGTTTTTCACAATAGTCAGGCTTAATCCCAGTTTATTGTTTTTATTAAAACAACTATTTATTAGTGGGGAATGTGTTAAGTAATAGTAGTATGGTTAACTATTAAATTATGTCAGTATGTATGGTATTTCAGTTTATCAATTGGTGGAACTTATTCCACCAAACATAAGTAAGGATGACGTAATTACTATTCATATTTTAATCACATACGATTCATAAGTCTTTGGAATCATCAAAATTGGTGCAGACGTTCTTGAGTTATGTTTTTCTTTTTTATGTTTTTCTCAAAATTTTCGTTGGTAAAACTCTTCCCACTGCAATTAAAAACAACCGTAGGAAAATGTGAGTCAAATTGGTGCAGTCGTTATCAATGGAAACATTTTTCACATCATGAAAAATATATTTGAGGAACAATAAAAGCACATATAACTTAGACACCTAGAGCATCTAATGCCCAAATTGTACGTACAGGCACTATGGGGCGTGAGGAGTGTTTCTGTGTAGTTAGAAGTTCATCCGACAGATGGCGCAATATTTAGTTTTTTTTTGTGTTTTTGCAACGAAACTCAAGAACTACTGCACCGATTTTGACCAAGAGTTTAGCGATCACGAACATACACGTAATTTTTATATATATAGAGATAGAGAAGAGATTATTATTATTATACTAGCAGACCCGGCAAACGTTGTTTTTCCGTATCAAATTTGCATCAATTTAAGTTTTTCCACCAAACATTTTTCCGGAGAAGGTCAAGTTTTGATCTAACTACTCTCACCTCAAAAGATTATTTAGTATGGATTGCGTAAATACTATTCCTATTTTAATCACATACGATTCGTAAATCCTTTGAGTAATTAACATTTGTGCAGACGTTCTCGAGTTATGAAAGGTGTAAGTAATACAACATTCGATTACTTCAATCTCCGACCTTTTTATGTTTTTCTCAAAAATTTCTTTGGCAAAACTCTTCCCACAGCAATCAAAAACAACCGTAGGTGTAGCATGCCACATTATTGCAGACCTGTATGTTTCAGATTAGGTTCTTGTAAATTGATTTAAATTAACAGTTTAACCATAAGGACATCTCATACATCATATATTACCATTTTCCTTTGTTCATTAGTAAATTCATAAATTTTTAGGCCTGGAAGTATCGCATTAGATAGCAGCTTAAACAAGGTTTCTTCCCAGAGTTTTTGTAGAAACTCGGCCATTTTGTCACCCATCACCTCAGTGCTAAGTTGAAATCTTAAGAAGTTTTTATAATAATACCTTTGAATCATATAAGATTTTAATAGTGAATTTAAAACCACAAAAACCATTTTGTTTTCTGATTTAATCATCAGGTGAGTTTCACTCAATTTCTCAGTAAAGTTATTCAGAAATTTATTAGTGCTCAATTTTTTAGATAAGTGTCAAATTTCGGATTAAAACTCAGGCAAATTGATGAAACATTAACCATCCCATCGTATTCTTTTTTTTCAATTATTACAACTGGTAATATGAGCCCTTTTAGTTTCTCTATAAATCTTTAAAGTCTGCTCTTATTTAGATCGATTGTCTGACTTAATTGAGCGCACCCTCCTTAGTTTTAGTTTCGTTGATTGACATATAGTATTAAGCGCTTCGTAATTAGTTTGATCTTATTCAAAGATTTTCTTTCACTTTGCTTAATAAGTCTATAGTCCTTCCAAGGTCTTAGGAGCTATGGCTACAAACAACACTGAAAACCCTAGTGTGAGTGGTGATTCTGGTGAATCGGTTATGTGCAATGCTTGCGTTAATCCCGTAACCACAAAGTCACACATTTACAAAACAGATTGTGGACATGTATTTCACAAAAGCTGTCTACTATCGTGCACCAAAACTAGACCATACTGCCCGGTTTGTAACGCAAGGGTCAGTTTAGAACCTCCCACTCCTAGTGCCTCCATTATCACGACTAGGTCGCAGAAAAGATTGACCACCCAAAAAGCAGGTAGTCAGGAAGTGCGAGAAACAGAACACGCATCTACAGTTGCCGATGGTTCTCTAAATACCGTCCCTTTAGCTTCGAATACTACAAACACGAATCCAAGTTCAGATATTAGGGAAATGGTAACAACAATGCTTGCTGCGAATCAAGCACAGATGATGGCTTCGCTAGGGAATGAGATTTCTCGCTTGGTACAGTCTAGTTTAGAAGCCAACTTATCAAGATAAACAGCAGGCAAATAGTGTCAAATAACGAAATCGGAAAACATGCTTGACGTGTGGTCACATTTGAGCAAATATTTTCACAATATAACAGTTTGATCAAACTGTCAAAAAACAAAAATATATTTGCTCGATATTTTCCAAGAAATTATGGAAGAGGAGCAGCTTCAATTATTGTATTGTACGAAGAAAATAAAGTTAAAAAAATAAGAAAAGGTCATGGGTTCGTGAATGAGTGCGTGATTGTGTATATTGTAAGGCCATCCAAGAATATTCTGTGGATTCTGTTCAAAATTTCCCTTCAACTCGTCGCTCGGAAAGTGGTTATAGTAGTGATATTGATCGTGGTGGTGGAGCAACAGCAGCAAAAAGCACTATTTTCCAATATGTTAATGAGTATTTGGGATGTTTGATATTGAAAATGTCGGCCAATTTTTTACGGTAGCCCCCATATAGCGGTATCCCAAATTTAAGGCTTTTCTTATTTTTTAACTAATCAGTGTGGAAAAGTACCCTGTGCAAAGTTTTATCGCTATCGGAGAAATATTTAATGCCTTTTGTGCATCATTTACATAAAATCGGTGGAAACTGTATCACTCAAGACTCAATTCAGTATGCTATGCCAAATTTCGTGCAAATCCAAAGAAATATAGGGGCTTTAATGCACCATTTACACAAAATATGACGAAAATATGTGTGGGAGCTATGACTGAATCTGAACCGATTTCAACAAAAACTTAACACACGTCACCCCGGACGCTATACAAATTTTAGTTTCAATCTGATAATTATTCGCTTTGTTGTATGACAATTGTGTTGTATTTACGTCCTTTTGTTTCAGAAAATATCAAGTCAAAAGAACGTAACTGACATAAAATCTTAAAAATCTTTTGTTTTTGCAAAATAGTCAGGCTGAATCCCAGTTTGTTGTTTTTATAAAAAAACAACTATTTATTAGTGGGGAAAAAACT